CCCGGTCTAGGTCCGGGTCCCGGTCCGGGTCCGGCCGCCGAGGCGCTGGCAAGCGCTGGGGAAGGCTCCGCGGGGCCCCGCAGCAGCCGCAGCCGCCGCCGCCGCCTGCCCGAGAGGAGGAGGGAGGAGGATGGCGGCCCTACACTGCGCACGCGCGACCGCGGCGCCCCCCGCCCACGCCATATCCGGTCCCGCGGCCAATGGCGGCGCCCCCGTCTTACATAACGCGGCGGGCAGGGCGCGCCTGTGACCTTAACAGGGAGGTGTCCAGGCCCGGATGTGACGCTACAGCCGCCTCCTGTCCCTCCTTCCCTTTGCCGACACTCCCGTGGGTGGGGCTACATGCGCCCGGGTCCCTCCTCTGTCCGGCGAGAAACGCCCTCTACGACGTCAGAGGAGTGGGGTTCCTCCCGGCGCTGGTCTCGGCTAGTTTCAGTCTCCAGTCCTTGCTAACGTCACCTCCCCACTTACGCCCACGGGCAACGCCTCCGTGCCCGGGCACGGCGCAGGCAGCTGGGAGCAGCCGGGCTCTGCTCTGCTCCGCTCCTCTAGGGGGCTCCGCGGCGTGCCGGGGTGGCGCGTGCCGAGCGCACGTGCTTCTCCAGGGACGTGGACGCGGCGGCTGGCTGGAGCTTTCACCCGCTGGCAGAGGCAGGCGCCTTCCCGCTGCCCCTCTGGCGCTTTGAAATATTCTTGTAACCCGCGTTTGGGTCGTGGCGAGGCGGGGCGGAGAAACGCTGTACTGAAGCAGCTTCAGCGGGGGAGCGCCAGAACCCCTGGGAGGGAGGGTTGTTGCTACCGCTTGCGGAGCGGGGAGTTTAGGTGGTTTCAAGTCGGTGACGATGAGCCACGGAGTGGGAGGCGCCCTCAGCCCTGCGCGTTTGGGCGCTGCAGGCCGGGCCCGTGGGTGGAGCAGGAATCCGAGCGGGTTCGAGTGCGCGCCCCTGGGCCCGGCCCTCCCTCCCGCCGACTGCGATTGGGGGAAGAGCTGCTGGCTGTTCGGTTGCTCGAGTGCAGCCGCCTGGTTAGACACCGGTAGTATCCCTGGTTGGGAAAGGCCAAGCTGTGAAGCACAGACAGCCTGAGTTGGATGGGGACGTGAGGGGGGAACCAGTTTCCTTTTACTCAGTAGCACTGGTTGAAACACAGTATTCAAAACACGGACCTACAGCCTGTTTGAGCTTTCCCCGCAGTGCGCATGCCACATACAGCACAGCCGTATTTCATGAACATCTCTTTGGCAGCCTTTGGGCGCAATTCTGGTCTCAGCTGAGTTATAAACCAGCCAAGTTAAAATGTATTGTCTGCCAGCATGATGGAGAAGACAGTCGGGCTCCCTTGTCTACACCACCTACTGCCAATCTGATATCCTGCATCATACACTTGGTTCTCCTGATTTCCGTTAGAGCTTTGCTTGAGTAAAAATTGATCTAGTGTAGAATTTCCTTCTCTGTTTTTACCACAGGGTGAAATGCATGATAATCACTTTGTCTGCAGTGGGGTGATCTCTGTTGTGTTCAACTCCTCTTCATCTTGGAAGTGTGATGATCATGCTACAGGTTTAATGACTTGCATTATGCAGGGTGGGGGGAGGGGGCAGATCTAGATCAGGGGCAGATCTAATTTGGCCCTGTGTGCTGGATCCAGACTGCAGGGCATCTCATGGGCCAGATCTGTATCCTGCAGCAGAGCAGCTACTTGTCAGCATGGCTGCTGCAGCTGCTGCATTGGTGCAGCTCTGGAAGCAGGGCGGTGAACGTTGCCACTGCACTCCCCCCACCCCTCCCCTGTGCCCCAGACTTTAGTCACCAAGGGCAAATTAAGACCTAGAACTTGGTGGTAGGCAACAGGGTTGTGGGGCAGCATTGTGGCGGGTGCAGAGATCCCACCTCAGGAACACA